CTAACATTTTGAATTCCCCTTGAGGGTATTACGCCATTTGAAACTTAATATCATCAAACAACAATCACACACACACACACAACACCGAAAAAAAACAAAAAAAAAACAAAAAAAAAAAAAAAAAAAAACACGATCGTTTCACAGTGAGGCCACTGGAACCGTGAACCTTCAAGGTTTTTTTAAGTCACTATTTCCTGAACCTTCTACTGTTTCCAACCCTCTAAAATGAAGCCGATTAAATTGAAATACACCGAATAATCAAAAGTAAATCTCATTCCAATCGATTGGCCCAAGGGATGATTTACAGTACACATTGAAAAAAGTGTTCACGGTTCGAGTGTCCTCACTGTAAATCTATCTATATCTATCAATATATTCAAGATGGCGGCAAAAACGAGAGAGACTGTGGACGATTATTTTGGTTCCCAAAGCACGCTGGGTCCAGGTTTTCGGGACCCATAAGTCCTTTCGGTCATTGTACCGTTACAGTCTCTAAGCGTGGAGACGGAACGGACGAGCGAGAGACTGTGGAAGAGTCTACATAGTTAATAGAGGGGACCCTCTATTAACTATGGATAGAGTCAACTGAGTCAGGTATAGAGTATAATTGGAAGAAGATCTATTTGAAAACGCTTTCTCTGGAGAATAAAGTCCTCCAGAGCTTGAAATCAGACTCTCTTCTTGAGTTCTAATTAAAATAGCTTTTTTCGATAAACGGCTCGATCTACGAGTCTCTGAAAAATCGAAATGTTGACGTTGTACCTAATAAGCGTGTTTGTTTACTTTTTAAAATACATCAGAAAAAAGGCCTAACTCATTGAAATTTTATTTTAGGTGTTAATTGTATAATTTTACTTCAACTTGCATCTTTCCTTGATTCTTTTAATACGAATAATTCGAAGATAAAACTATGTGCGAGTGTGCGCATGCACAGTGGGCCCCCACGGCGTCTACAAGTGATAGAAATATATCCCACTTGGAACATCAGCATCTCGTTTCCTCATATAAATATCAAAGTAATCTATATGGTATAAGAGCTTTGTGCTTGTTAGTGTCGCGTAACATTCGCAATCAGATGACGTAAGACGATAGCTAAACACATAGACAGGAGCCGAGAAGATGCATGGAGACCAGAGAAGGAGAAAAAAGGTAGGGAATAAATACAATACCTTTAAGTGGAGTATATTCTGCTGATTG